ATCAATAGCATAAGCTCCTATAATTCTTTGAATTTAACTTTATCAAGAAAAAATCTATGTTGTATGCTTTCTTTAAATAGGAATACCCTGTTTGAAATTAAAATATAAAACTATTTTTTATTATTTATTTTAAAAAATTGAGCCATTAATCATAATGTAATAGTGATAGAAATTTCATAGAAAGAAAAAGACTGTTTAATTAAACTTAAACAACAATTTATTATTAAAAGGTGTGAATTCAATATAAAATAACTCCTCCCCTGGCTCGAATACATGCGAAGATCCTCCTGGGCATGCTGAGGATCAAGTTATCCAGCATTTCCTGGGGTAACCTATCCCATTCTTCAATAGCGGCTTCCCTGAGCTCTGGAACTGTCTGGGGACGTGGCTCACGGTTCCATACTGCTCGTTTAAGAGCATCCCACGCGCGCTCTATTGGGTTTAAGTCGGGCGAGCCGGCAGGCCAGTCTAATCGTGTGATATCGTATTCTTGAAGAGCACCATTGACTCGTTGAGCTCGATGTGCGGGCGCATTATCATCGACCAGTACAAATTGGTGCCCATGGTTTACTCGGAATGGTCTGACGATATCATCAATAGCAACTGCTTTGTACATGTCTGCTGTCATGAAGCCCCGATAAGGGGTCAAAGGCGTTCTAGCTCCAATCATAATGCCACCCCAAAAAGACTCCGATTTTCCGCCTTGCTGAACTGTTCCAGTGGCAGTTCTTTGTCTTTCACGGTCGCCTGGTCTTCTCCAGACACGGACACGTCGGTTATCTGGATGAGTGCTGATTCGGGATTCGTCAACGAAGAGACAGTTTTGCCTAATGTTTTCGTCCTCACCTTCTTCATTTTGCCGAAGTCTAGCCCACTGCAATCTTCGTTGTTGACGTTGCCGGGAATTGAGCGGAGCTCGCCAAGACCTCCGTGCTCGTAATCCAGCCTGGTGCAAGCAATTGCGAACGGTCTGCGTGCTAACTTCAAGCCCAGAGGCGGCCCTGACTTCTGCTTTTATTTTAGTGGCGTTGATTGTTGGAACACGGGATGCCAGCAATCTAATATAGCGCTTTTGGGCAGCTGTCAAAACAGTTGGGCGACCGCTGCGGGGTCGGTCAGCTAAATTCCCCATTCCGTGATACCTCTGCAACGTAGCCACGACACAGGATTGGGATATAGCAAGTCTGCGTGCTATTACTCTCGTGGTGTATCCTTCTTCCCTCAAAGTTACTATTCTAGCTCGTAAAACCTCTGATAATCCTCTTGGCATTTTTTCAATCACAACTTTCCGCGAAAAATATCTTGAATCGCTTATAATTGACTAAATCAGATTTCTGAATGAGCGTAAGCTAGGACTGAAAGCCTTTTTACATGAAAAAACAATTGAACGGGGTCATTGTTTTATGTTCTAATTTATTTTTAAATAAAGAATCTAAAAAGAAGAAAAAATCATAATATAATCCACAGTAACAAAAAAGATTTCAGTTTTTCGAAGTGATCGCAAACTTTTTTTGATGAACAGGCTTAAGCCCGCCTACGTGTTATAAGAAAATGAACAGCACAATATTTGTAACAGTAAACAAGTTTCGCAGAAGTCACCTGCATTGAAACGTGACAACGGAAACGAGACCACCAGAGCAGAAGCTCCGTGTAAGCAAATCGTTACACGCAGTGGACGTATAGTTAAGCCAAATACACGTTACATTAAATTTGCTTTAGAATCTTAGACAAATAGATTAACATAGATAGATAGGTAGTTGGTACACTTTATTTTTTTAAGTAATAGATTAGAATAGATACAGTTCTTAATATAGATATAGTTGTCACACCCCGTAATAGAAGGTAGGTACACATTAGTTAGATATTAATTAAATTAGACACTAGATAACAGTAGACAATAAGTTAGGTACTACGACACGTATTCTGAACAAAATGCTGAATCCATTTTGTTACCGACTGTACGTAGTTCTTCTAACATGCAACTTAGGATAATAATTAGATCAGTAGAGTAAAATGTATCAAAAGAGCAATGTTGCATATGAAGTTGTGAAATTCCTCTTGTATCTAGGTTTTAATAGCGTAAGCAAAGTCTTGTAGTAAATCTCACTGAATACAAAAGTCATTATTAATCTTTTATTTATCGAGTACATACAGTTATCTCGTATATATTTTTACAATGGGTAAAACACAGAGCAAAACCGAACAAGTCATTATTGCTCAAAATGGAGCAAATGAAGCTACTGCTCAGATCGAAAGAAAATTAGAAATGTTCTCAGTAATCACAATAGGTATCATTACTATGATTCTACTGGTTGTGTACTTATAATGTTTAAACGTTGTGGAAGAACAGCTAAGAAAATAGTAATTAAAGATTTAGTAGCATCTGTCGAAGCAGGACAGGCCCGACAGACGATCGCGGCCCAAACAGTCCCAACTCAAGTGCACTACTAGTAGGTAGTGGAAGCGTAAAAGTGTTTCATGGTATTTCGTAATAAGTGTATTTTACATAAATGTAAGTTTCGTAGCTGCGCGTACCCACGTAAGTAAGTCTAGTAATAAGTTTTGTTAAGTGTATAAGTGTACTTACCAATAACACAAAAGTAAAGTAACGTAATGTAAATTATTATTGTACTCTTCATAACCGGACCTGCGTAATCGGTTAAAGTAATGTAAATTAATATTCATGTTTAAGATTAACAAAAGTGCTAAGCACCAGTTGTTTACAAAATTGTAAGTTGATACATCGACTCATCCGAAGAACAGAGTCCGATGTGATTATATAGCGAAAAGAGAATAAGTACGTTTACGAGAATAATTTCGTTATTCAAACTTAAGCCTTGTGAATGTGTTTTGAGAATCTATATACCTTATTTCGTTTCGGAAATATAAAATCGAACAACGGTCGATCTGACATCCACAGCGAAGAAGGAACGAACGAAATGTGCTATGTCCTGAGAACAAGTAGTCTTGCACATAGATCTTTGTTCTACGGATGAGTCGACATGTGTGTTGCAACTTGCTAGACTGGCACGTTATGCTGACTAGCGTTTATTTATAATCGCATTTGAAATTGCAATGTAATTTTTGTTTTTGGTACTTGTATTTTTTTCAAAATAAGGTTGTAGGGGAGGAATATTGTAGGGACACATGTGCTGACGTTACGTTTTCAGCCCTCCGCGTGTGCGCAGTCAGTCATCGCCTGTCGCGCGCCCGGTCCGAACGATTCCAGCAATATTCCTCGCCATAAGTAGTTCCGAGTAAATCCGTGTAAATCTTCTAATTGTTTTGTACCGTATACTATTTGGCAGTGAACAATAAAAGTGTGACAACTAAATTATAATAGAGTTTTGACTTTATCTGGAATCTCCATAGTGAGCACATTAAATCCGGGTGGTTAATTGGACCACACAGATAAGTTTCTAAAACTTCCATCTCACCTGATGGAAGGTGATGATGAAGTCGACGATGGAGTGTACACACCTAAATAATGCCTATATTCATCATGAAAAGACCCAAGTTATACCGTTCAGGGAACAAGTCTGCAGGCAGGGAATTCTACTCCATAACCGTTCGCCACATAAACGTGGAAGCGAAACGTTTCGTGCGAATTCTTGAAATATCCACAAATTAAGGGTGGAACTCCAGTTACGTCTGGTCCCCCGATGATGGAAAGGGGAAGGCGGAATGAATCGTGCAATTCCCTCGCACACTCTACGTGATATATTCTGTGGAATTACGAAAGGAGACGTAAATGAGCGAGATGAGAATAATTTTTAGTTCACTAATATTAGGGAAAGTTATTAAAATCTTGTAGGTCGTGTCAAATCCCTAACCGAGAATGAGCCAGAATGTTGGACAGTGGCATAAATCTGTAATACGACTTTTGTTGTTTGAACTTAAATATCTGTATACTTTAAGGTGGTGAAAGTAACTGAAGTAAAGCCAGGAGTCTATAATGCAGAAGTAAACAGCCAAACACGAACTTCAGTTGTGGTCACTGGACGTACCACTCTTCATTTTGTATATGGATTTGCTCCAATCGTACCTTCAACAATTTCAAGTACTGCTACTAAACCTTTGCCAGGTAATATTAATCTCTATGCACTTGATTATTATATATATTATAAGATACCGATAAGTGACGGGACGAACAAGTCGTGCGCCTGATGATGAGCGACACGTTTGTCCATAGCAGTTACAGCGGCACTTAGAGCTTTAAATCACAAAGATCTGAGGGGTACTGCTACCGCGCCGTGAGACATATGATGATCCTGTAATTTCACCAACCCCTTAACCTTCAAACCCGGAACGCAGTAATGCTCACATTACTGCTTAGTGGCAGAAATAGGTAAGGTTATCTACATTGAAAGACGTGTTTATATTTTAGACCAGTATGGTCTTATGGACATAAGTTATAATTTTAACATAAATTAGTTGTTCACATCATAACATAGAACATGAAAAATCATATCAAATTATATTAATGGCTGCAGAATTAAAGTACGTTACATGCATTCGCGATAAAGGGAATAATAATTACAATAATTATTATTTATATGCCTAACTGAAAATTGCATAAATGTAACTTAGATTTTTGACTATTACAAAGAGATTGAATTTGGTTCTCTAATGATTGACTGACATTACAAAAATGGCAAAATTTAATTTCAGGCAATCATTGTTTAGACTTGATTATATTGTGTGCCTGTGAGCTCCATCAACCCATCTCGCCCGCCCCCTTTTACCGGCGGGATATCATCCTTACTTAGTCGATATTCCCTTCAGGCGTACTAAGCGCCTTTCGTTCTCTCTCTCTCTCTCTCTCTCTCTTTTACTATGCGTACAACCCAGGAATGGAATTCCCTGCCTTCGACTGTGTTTTCGAGCACATACAACTCCAAAAAGTCTCTTTAAGGTGCGACTGAAAAGGCATCTTCTATGCGAGCTCGTTCCATCGTAGATCCTACTTTTGCTTCAGGGCTAGGTGGTGGTTAAAAACAAGTCCATTTACTTAAAAACATACTGGAGATGCCTGTGTTCCAAATCGAAACGGGTAAGCAAACATTATGGATCTCGACAAATTACTAAAAAGAGGACAAAAATCATCATCATCAACCGTTTTATATGTCCCACTGCTGGGCACGAGTCTTCTCTTAGGCGAGGGTTTGGGCCATAGTCCGGCGCGCTGGCCCAATGTGGGTTGGGAACTTCACAGGCTTTCCGAGGGTTGTGAACCTTCCTCAATGTACAGGTTTCACCACGGTGTTTTCCTTCACCGAAAAGCTCATGGTCAATTTCAAATTAAGATAAGATACGAAACTCAGAAGTTCGAGCCTAGATTCGAACCGACGGCAGTCTCTGCTTGAGAGGCGATTGGCCAAATCAATAGGCTACCACGATTATTTTCAATTAAGCCTTTGTATTGCGTTTCTTATTATGTTTAAACTAATTTGTTTTTCTAGACACAAAATCTTTTGTTGCCATTAAGCTGACGACTGATGAATCCGACGATGTAGTTCTCGAAACTCTGCAAATTCGAAATATGGATGACAATATTGTTACGGAAGTGCCATTTAACGTAACAGCTGACAAGAAAAATCAATTTTATGTTACGGACAAACTGAAATTCCCAAACACTGCATTCAGAATTGCGGTAAGTTTCGGATCAAAATTTTTGAATTTTCAACAGCTGCTATTACTAATGATGTGTTGGTTCATACGTTTGATTCTTCTTCTTATAGTATCGTTAGCATACAATTTAAAGCTTGTCATCACGGTGTGAATAGATTTGCCAATCTAGTTGTCTTGGATGGGCCAGATGCACAGGAAAATATCGGTACGTCTGGTGGGGAGGCTCCTTCCGTGCCCCCCATAAAATTGATTAAGTTACAAAAATCATTGTAAATTTATTATTTGCAGTGGACAAGATAATAATTCTAATAATAATGAAATAAAATAGCTTGGATACAAGATGATGTCGACATCTATTTCACCTAATTTCCTGTTCACAAAATTTTGGAAAGGATTGATTGATAGTGTGAAGTTCTATAGTCTTTGCCTACTATATACGTGCATTTTACTCAGTCTTAACATATCAATCTTGTTCCAGATAAAAGGTTATGACTCTGAGACCAAAACATCGATAACGAGAATTAGCTTGACGCCTACAGAACCACAGATAATAGGTAATTGACACGTTTATTTACTTGTATATTCGTGTGTATTTGGTTGGGAATTCTGTACAGTAAATTTGAAGGATATGTTAATTCCAAGCATCTTTGTATATGCTGATGACAGGACAGTTGTTGATAGATGGTTGTTGATTAACCCAACGCAAAAGCCAGTGGTGACGTAATTCAGTCATATCAAGAGTCTATGGTATAAGGTAGTTTCAGATTGAGGCGGTGCCATTCTTGTCAAATTTTACACTAACAAAAAGCAAGCTTGTATTTTCTCCACAATACGAAGTCCCTTTCAACTGATTTAGATTTTTCGCGACACCGATAACTGATCGTCTCTAGCTACTTGGAATGAACCTGTCTTCTAGTTTAAACTTCGGCAGGTATATTGAATCCATGGCCACGAATGCAACCAAGAATCTTGGTATCCTTTCCAGCGTAAGGCGTTACTTCACACCGGGATAGTTGGAACTGTAGCTCAAGTACGGTCGTGTATAGAATACTGCTGCCATCTATAGGATAGATCTGATAAATACCAACTGACCACTTTGGAATCCATTAGGAATTGTGCCAAGAGTCTTATCGGGGACTCGGATGTAGTAAAGGCGAAGCTGCCATGAATATCGCCATAAAGTTGCCTGCTTATCCGTATTCTGTAGGATATATCACGGAGAGTGTGCAACGGAACTACATAAAATTATTCCATAATCGGGGGACAAGACGTAGACTAGGGTTCCACCTCTATGTTGTAGATATACCCAAGTTTAGCTCAAAGCGTTACTCCTCCACATTTATTTGGCTTAAGGCATTGGGGTGGAATACCTTGGGGTATTTCAACGGGAGAGTAAATAGGCATTATTTACATGTGCATTTTCCATCGTCACTTTTTTCATAAAAAAGGAACGCTTACAGCATTTGACGGTACAATAACAAATAGGAAAGCCATGCATAATAGCTGACCATAAATAACAGTAAAACCTTAAATATTAGCCTTATTCTATAATACAATTACTATTTATTTTAATTTTAAGTATGTATTTGTGTTTTCCTTTTTAAATAAGAAATAGCTAAAATATTATTTATAGATATTTATTTTTACCACTGTTCTATTATAACGTCCGCTTTTTCATCGGCAAAAACCCCATCCAGCCCCTTCCAGTTTCCTCAGTCTCTAGCGACTCTACTCCATACTTGGCCTGCTACTCTTACGATGTCATCACTCCATCTTTTGTGTGGTCCTTCCAGGTTTACGCTTTTCACATAATTTGCTAAGTTGTCTTCTTCTTGCTTTGATTTATTCGTTTTGTTTCTGAGTGTATGTCTTTGGTCTATTAGTTCTTTGATTACTTCTGTGATTATTGCTTGATTTTTCAGAATTTTCTTAGATATTCTTGCTTGGCTGGAGCATTGCACAATACTATTTTTAATATTATCATAATAATATAAAATTGTTTGATGGAATGTCATATTTACTCCTTTATATCCATATTTTGTCCTTTTATGCACTTTCATGATTCAGAAATTTGTGTGGTTTTAAAACAAAGTTTGTTGTCGTTAGATTACTCCTAGTAATTAGTGTTGCTCAGACCAGGCGATGGTCGCTAGAATGTTTGAAATTGCTGATAACGCTACAATTTTCAAACTCGTTAGAGTGGTATAACATTATTATCCTATTTTTCTTCAAATCAGTAGCACGTCTTCATGTTGAGAGGTCCAGGTAGGCGATCGAAGATATTCGATCCTGTGGGCGACAACACATTTAGGAAGTTAAGAAATCTTCTTCGAATCGCAAATGTCTATTAAAGATGCTATTTTGGTAATTTAATATCGTTGTTATACCATCCATTCGCACGAAGCGCTTTGCTTCCTCTTTATTGCGTACGGCAAAGGAGTGGAATATACTATTGACATCTGTGTTTCCGGAAAACTGCAATTTGAGATCGCTGTCAAAAATTGCGCCTGCATAAAAGCAAAAAAATACAGTCCGCTTAAGTAACTGATAATAAATAATTTGATTGAATTATTTTACTTGTATTACAGTGGATCGCGTCAACATACCACCAACAGTTGCGATTGTCGGAGAATCTAAAGTAACGGTCGAGTATGATAACCCTTTGGAATTAAGATGTAGTATAACAGCGTATCCTAAGCCTGTAGTTGTATGGGAGGATAACGATGGAAATTCGCTCCCAGCTGATTTAACTGTGAGTAATCATTAAGTAGACGGTATATTATAAGTTAGGAGAGGTCGTAGTGTATTGTTAATAATTCATTATTCTTTGAAGTAATATCCCCAGTTTAAGGGTTAATAACAATCAAACAGAGCACATAGACATATAGAAGGACACACATTGTTTATGGTATTTATTATGATTAAATTAGATTTTCCTGTAATAACCTTAGTTTTCAGTTGTTGCTTCACTTCAGCATTAATTTACTATAGTTGTACATTACAAGGTAAAACGAATGGTTAAAGGACACACTTTGTAAATGACTAAATAAATTGGTAATGTAAGAATCCTCATCATCGTACTCAAAAGACAGGAAATAGTCTCACCCTCCCTCCGCATAAAATTAATAAAATAAATGACACAAGCGCAACTATAGTCACAAACTATCACCAAAAATATACCCGACACGTGTTTTGCCTCTCCACGAGGCATCCTCAGGAGCTGTTGATTGCTCGACTCTCGGCAAAAGAACCATCTCTTTGGGCTATTTTGCACGATTTAACCTTCACTGGGTTCGCGGAGTAGCAAATTAATTTACTTCCATTTTTATTACTCTGCGGTAGTCCACCGTCAGGTGTGGTACACGAGAAAATGGTCGAATCACGTAACATTTTTAGAAGTAATTTAAAATGGTGTCAGCAAAATGAAGACAGAATAAAAATGGATTACATATATTTAATTTAAGTATTAAAGGAACGATTGAAGAAAGAGAAAAAGCTCCTAATTTTTGTATTGCAGATAATAGGAATTCCAAATGACTACTTAAGCGTTCTAGCCATCGACAGCGTGAAGGAGAATAAAACATACACATGCAAAGCAGAAAATGATAACGGTCAAGATAAAAAAGACATCGTTGTTGAAACTACCAGGGCTTTCTACTTAGATGTTTTGGAGGCACCAAAAAGTAATAATAACTATAATACATTTAATAAGGCCATATCTGTAAAATTATAAGTTTTCAAGAAAGAGATTTAATGAACCAAATGCTTAAATGGGAGAGTTATAAAATTGCACATGTACAGTTGATCCTCTAAGATGCCTGGACCCTATAAACTACCCTTTGATTCTGAGCTATCCGAGTGTTAAGTCAATTCAATCTAAGCCGTAAGCCGTGAACTCATTTTACTTTTCTGGTGAATGCGTAAGATGCCTCACAGAACCAAAAGGCCTTCTAGAGATTCGGGTATCTTATAGCATCGACTTTACGTAATCTGTTGCATGTAGTTCACGTGTTAAAAGCACTTTTTGACGTAAGACCCCAACTAAGGCTTTATATACCAAGGGTAGGATTATATGTTTGCTGGAATTGCCTAGATGACTATTAGGGTAATTTAATATGGTAATTCATCTTTCAATCCTCCAGGTGAAGAAATTGAAATTGACACATCAGCAAAATTTGTATGCAAGGTGGACGCTAGACCAACAGCGGATATCAAATGGCTAAAAAATGGCCAATATCTTAGAACAGACGAAAACATTAAGCTATCACCTGACAGCTCAGAGCTAATTATTAACAGGATGAAAATTGAACATTCCGGACGCTATATGTGTGTTGTGACAAATTTACGTGAGAAACGTGCTTTTAAATTTTATGTTGGTGTATCTGGAGTAGGTATGTTTATTGAATGATATAACTTATTTAAGAAAGTGAAAGCTGATATGCAATACTTGGGTCCCGTTTTATATAGCACAATTTTAAAGTACTAACTAAGAATAATTACGTGAAAGAAGAGAAACATGCAAACAACTAATAACATATTAACACTTAACACCTAAAGGATTTATGGTTTAAAGATATTATGATATATTCTAGTACAATAAAGACCAAGTGATGGCAATGTATTTGTGCTTAATACATTACTGGTAAAATTGAAACAATAAATTAATTATAATATTTAATCATTATACATAACGTTTGTTACACTGAATCTTTATTATACACAAAGAAATTATACCTTTCGTTGCTATCCCGTGAGTAATTATATAATTTGAAATTTTATTAAATAATCATTATATCGAGAGATCATTTGTTGCTATACCGATTATTTAAATCAATATCTTGTCGACTAGTCAATTTTACATTACGTAATTCAAATTTAACACACTTTGTCTTCGTGGCATTGAACAATAAATTGTTAGCATTAAACCAATAAACTACCATTGAGAGGGTTTCGTTAATATTAACATGTTAACGTCATGTCTGTCTGTTTTAAAAATCAAGGATAGAATGGTAGATCATTAACATAAATGAGAAATAAGTAAGGTCCAAATATTGAGCCCTGCGGTACACCCATTTTTAACGTAGAGCCCAAAGAAATCACCAGCTTAATACATTTGAGTAGAGTTGGTATTAAAAATGTATCATGGAACAGCTGTTTTTTTTACTCGTGATTCCGGAGTAGTTTCCCTTGTAAAAGGTATTCATATTGGTGAATATGATTAACTCATATGAAGAACACCATCCTGTAAGCAGGATTAATTTTAATTAGCTCAAAAACCATTTTAACATGACATTTCATTAATACAAGGAGTTTTTTATTACGGCTTTTGTAAAATTTACGCAAGTTGTTCTTAATTTCGATGATTAGTTGGTAAGGACTTTTGACGTTGTAGTTGTAGGTTTTGTGTTAAGATGTTTTTGAGTTAATTAAAAATGACCATGTATTTTTTTAAGTTATTAACAACTTTACTGTTTTTAGAACAACCTAAGATAGAAAAAAATATAAATGAAATTCGAACACTAGAGGGAGCTAATGTTGATATAGAATGCAGGTAAGTTAAAAACGATTTTAGGTTTTTATTTGGAAGTAAAAAAACGTTACACATCATTATATACAATAGAACTAATTAAAAAAACTGAGTGTTGCTATACACATAACAACACTATATGCTATACACGTAACGTCGTGAGGCAACCATCATGTGTGAGAACTTCTAATACCTACTCTTTGAAGGCATGTTAAGTCTTGTCAGGGTGATACATCAAGACTATATACGCTAATACAATGTATACGCTTCTATAACAAGATTCCGGTTGATATACAAAATTTGCCTTTCACGAGGTTTAAAACTATAGTGAAACAAAAACTTTATACTAAAGGTTATTATACAACTTCTGCGTACTTGGATGACAAAAATCCGTGGTAGTAAGCCGTTTAGCTCATGGAGGTAGTCTCGATTTCTGATGTTTCAAATAAAAAAAAATATTGTAAATGTTATTTACAAAGAGTAACCCCTAGAGTTTCTTGCTCATTCTTCTCAGGGGAATCTGCCTTACGAATGAGAGGTAGAGTTTAACTATTGTGACGATTTCAAGTGTAATAATGCTTACCTATGAAATAAAGATTATTTTGAATTTGAATTTGAATTTGTACAACTTCTTTTGTCCTCATGTCTCACCCAGATTGCTTCAAGGTAAACCAAAACCTACAATGCGTTGGTTCTTCCAAACACCTCAAGGATCTGAAGAAATCGACGCATCAGGAGAAGATCACATAACTCTCAACAGTGTCACGACAGAAACGTCAGGCACGTACCGCTGTGAAGCTCATAATGATGTAGGTGATGATTATCATTATACGGATGTTATTGTGGATTGTAAGTATACGCATAGAATTTTCACTTTTTCAGGGTTTAAAAAAAATTAATTATAATATTACATAATGTAACACGATTTTTGTTTCTCGGTTATCAATATCTAATTGGTTTTAACATAAAAACATGAAAAATAAACGTATTTTCAGGTTTTACTTCTTAAAAGTCGATACAACCTCAAATGGCTTCAGTGAAAGTGTTGAAACAATCACTTTGGAAAACAAAAATATTATAAAATTAAGGATATGCAACTGATTAGTATACGGTGTGAAGACACGAAATGATTTCACGATAGAAGAAAAACACAAACTTACCTCGAAATTTTATTACCGCTTTTTAAGTCAATGCGCTGTATATATTCAATAGGTACTTTACATATACCAAAAATTTTTTTATATATCAACTGAACTAAATAGAACGCGTATACGAATCTGAAATAAAGATAGTGTCTCTAGCAAAATGAACCGTATTAGTACGGGAAATATTTTAAAACGAAAAAGAGAACATTACGTTTGAAATTAATAGCATAATTAAAATGTTTGTAACTTTAGGTTAGCAATGAAACGCCAGTTAGATAACACGGTCCGTTTACTGCCGGCACACGCGATGATCGCGTCGCAGCGCAAACAAGACATATATGTATGCATACATCTCAATATTTCAACCGAAATTCTACAAATTGATGACAAAGAACTTACGAATGTGTAGATTTGCGAGATTATGTAAATACCACAGCCACAACAGTGAAGTTTCAGAGATATAGCTACTCTATTCTACATTCTTGCATATGAAAAAACGAAAATCTTAGGAAATGAAACTATTTTTCCGGGTTTCAATCGCGTATATTTGTTTTTTCAAACAAACCGACGTTTCGGGCCTTTTACAGGCCCCATGGTCACGGTTGACTGTTGACAAATATACGCGATTTAAATCCGGAAAAATAGTTTCATTTCCTATGTGTAACAATCGCGAAGACCTAAGAATTTGAAACGAAAAACTTGTTGTTTTCTACTATTACGAACATACATCTGAAGCGAAATACAGCACAATGTTATAAACATAACCTATATCAAGTTTATAACCCCAGCTTCTACAGGCTGTACTCAATTAACTGCCTCGGTGGCCGAACGGCTACCATGTCGAACTGCCACGCAGAGGTCCTAGGTTCGATTCCCGGCTCGGGAGAAATATTTGTATGACCTACATTTATTTCTCTCATGAGTTTGGGTGTCATTTGTGTTTGTCTATGTGTGTGTCCATGACACCCGAGACACAGGGTGTCCAGGGTTGAATGTATGCGTTAAAAAAATAGCTTTTTTGATGCTTTGATAATGATAATAGGTCCCTTTAATGCACATCGTCAAAAACACTGGGTCATACGTCGCCTTCCGTCTTTCCATCGTCGAAATCTGAAGATGCCAATCGTCGCCTTACTTTGTTCGTATCTTATAAAGAGTGATTATCTAGGATGGCAAAACTTTCTATTTATTTTAAATTCCTTATCAAGGGTGTTAATTTGGATGTGAAAAACCAGTGAGTGAATATGAAGCAAATATTGTGTGAAATCAGCCTGCAAAATTTGTATATACAATCATTTTTTTCATTACAGTAACTTTGTGCTTTAAGATACGAGTCTGAGAAAGCAAGGCGACGAAATGCGGATGTGTGAAAAAAGTAAAAGATAATAAGAGACGAAAGACAGAAGGCTTAATAGCGCTGGCCTATCTTGAATGAAATAAACAATAAAATAATTTTTAGGAATGAAACTATTTTTCCGGATTTAAATCGCGTATATTTGTTTTTTCAAACAAACCGACGTTTCGGGCCCTTTACAGGTCCCATGGTCACGGTTGACTGAGGTGGTACAGTCTTCAACCAGTTATGTCTAATATTGATGCAAACCACCCTATTTTTTCACTATAGTTACAATAGTTATTAATTAAATACCTTATTTTTAATTTTACAAAGAAAACATTCCAATTTACGCTACATTAAGTTTTACAAATTATTTTATTGAATGAATTTTTTTTTTATTAAGTTTAATTTATTATTAATTATTAATAGAAATTAGAATAAATTAAAACATATTAATTAGTACTGCAGTCTTATGTCTGTTTGGGATTTTTCATTAGAGGAAATACTGGATCCCAAACTGGTGGTACGGAGAAACCATCTTCCCTGTTGAAATTAGGATGTTTTTTAATTTCAATGGCCTCTCGCAGCATCCTGGGCAGATAACGGACTTCTTTTGCAAGGACCTGGGGTTTGTCAAACTTCATTGAATGTGTAGGTTTATCCATGACATGCTCGCAGACTGCAGACTGCAGACTGCAGATTTAAATCCGGAAAAATAGTTTCATTCCTATGTATAACAATCGCGAAAACCTAAGAACTCGAAAAATAATTTTTGTTTACAAAACAAACAGGTGGTTGCCTGCAGTGCACGCGGCCGAATTCTCGATGCCTGTTTGGCTATCTAGCACTAGTACTCGGCACGCGCTCAAGTAGCGCCTGCTCCTAACGATCTTGTCGTGACCTGCAAAACATCCGCATTCGCAGGAACTCTGCGTCGATTGATTCGGATATCGGATGCGGAAGCAGACGTCTATGGCATCTTTTAAATTCCTTTATTAAGAAATCTTTTGTATAAATTTCATAACCATTGTCTGTATTTTGTAGCCTTTACTTCACTTATTACGTTGAGTGTGTACGTTATTATTATTATTATTATTATTACTTCCACTGCGGCCACCCCAAGCGGTCTAAGGAATAATATCCATGGTAAACACTGAGCTCTAAAGTATGTTACGTGGTCAGTTGCTCATGCAATGCGATTCGATGGAATATAAAACGATTGTGTGCAATTAGGTAGTTACTTAGTGTTACTAGAGTAAGAGAATAATTAATACAAAGATCGAACACAGAGGAAAAATTCATTCGATCCGGGATTCGAAGCAGCGTCTTCAGCATGCCAATTACTACCGACAAGTTCGTCCCTTCACTTGATATTATAAAAAAAAGCTACGGAACGTACTAGCAGGCCTAATGAATTTTTCTGTGCTTCTTGCAGATCTTTGTTTTTGTTTTTTAAGCTGTGAGAAATCTATGAAAGTTTTTCTTCACTCAGCCGGGTAACTTTACAGCTACCAGCGGCTGACTAGAGATATCGCTTTAATAATTGTAATATGAAGTTTGTTGAGTATCACAATATTTTACTACCATGATATTCAATTATCTTTGTATTAACAATTATAACAAAGTAATGAGTAATTTCGTAAAAAAATAATTGAATATCATGATAGTAAACCATTGTGATACTCCAAAAACTTCATATTAGTAAGAAAATTAGTCTTTAAAAGATTCAGTTAACATTGGGTTACCATATTTTACTTATCTAGAGTTAAAAATGTATTTTCAGATCCACCTGTCATAAGAAAAGGTAAACCAGAAATAAAACCTTGGGAAGGTGATAAAATAAGAATCCCTTGCAGAGTGGTAGGTGAACCTGCCCCTGAAGTTAAGTGGTTTATCAATGACACTGAAATTGATGAAGAACGCTTCAAGGTTCACAAATCTCATAGTTTAAAGTGAGTTGAAATGCAATTTTATTTTACTATTGAAAAGTCTACGGTATATTTCTCATAGTATATTCTATTTAGAGTTATAGCAATCAACAAAAATTGTATGCTTATTAACAAAATTAGGTTTCAGTGTCGGTCCTTGAGGAACGCCTTTGAAGTTTTTTTTTATGTATCCTTTGTTATAGTTTTAGAGTAAAATTAACGGATAGCGGCACCTACAGGTGCCAAGCTACTAACCCTCATGGTACAGCAAATGCAACCACTCTAGTGCAGGTTATTAGTGAGTATAATTGTTTGTTTTCAAGATTAATGATACTTGTTTTTAAAAATTGCATGTTAATTTACAATAGTGTCTTTATAAAGGTCAGGCGTGTTTAGATGATTTCCGTGGTCGAGTGGCTTGCGCACCACATCTCCAAGGTAGATGTCATTCTTAATTTCGAATACCACTATTTCGATAACACTGCTTCGATATCACAAACATTCGATAGGTCACTACACTGACAGAAAACTATATCGACAACACATGTATTCGACAGGTCACTATTCCGATAGAACACGAAATATTTAATATAAATATTTGTTATACTGAGAGACTACTTCTCGACCATCGCAGAAAAGTAGCCTGCTTGTCGGTTTTCTAATCGGATACATTTCGGGTAGTGTGCGCAGGAACTTTTCAATTTAGTTCACCCTCACCGTACCTCCTTCGGTGGACTAGAAGGTCCGGAGCACTCCATTCTTATATTGTTGATATTCCACCTATTCGCACTAAGCGCTTTGCTTCCTCCTTTCTGATGCGTTCGGCAAAGGAATGGAATGTTCTATTTGTATATAATCTCTATTTTCTCTCTATTTAGGCAAACGAGTCCCATCGTCGGTCACATCGTCGCTTAACATCAAGTGAGATTGTGGCCAAGCGTGTCTATTATATATTTAAAAAAAACTAGTTACGCAGTTATTTGTCAATTTCATGTTCTGTCGGAATAGTGATCTGTTGAGTACATGTGTTGTCGAAGTAGTTTTCTGTCGGTGTAGTGATCTATCAAATATTTGTGTTGTCGAAGCAGCGGGCTGTCGTACTAATGATCTGTCGAGCATGTGTTTTGTCGAAGTAGTATTCCGTCTAATTAATGTGTAGTCGAAATACTGTCGACTCGAAATAGTGTTATTCAAAATTAAAAATGACACCCCTCTGAGGTCTCGAATTCGATCACCGTCCGATCTCGGGTCTGGGTGTTTGTGGTACCGTCTTTGTTTCCGATTTCCATAATATAAGTGCTTTAGTTACTTACTTTGGGATTAGGTCAATGTATATGATATTATATTAAATAAAGGCAAATAGTAGCTGGAATAAATGGGTTTCGAGAAGGAAAAGAATTGTATGTAATGTACATTTAGAACGATACAAGTTGGTAATGATCTTTTGATATCCCATTTCCTATTTCAATATTATTCCATTTACAAGTTAAGATATAAACAACGATTTGTTTCTGTCAACAGTACCACCACAAATCGAATCTCCTGCAGAGAGCCGACTTAATGTCCTAATAGGCAAGAACGTCAAACTTCCTTGTGTGGTAAATGGATTCCCGAAGCCAAAAATAACATGGATATTCTACAGCTCTAACTCGTCAATACTACCACGTAAGCTGAAGTAAGCAGTTTTTAATTTTTCTGAATTCTTAAGTATCACGACACGAATATAATTTAAAAAAAGTGCTACAAACATAAGTTCTGACGATCACATTTGGACATGTTGAGCAATTTTAAAAGCCACTTTTTTATCGAATTCTTAGGTTTTCGCTATTGTTACACATAAGAAATGAAACTATTTTTCCGGATTTAAATCGCGTATATTTGTTTTTTCCAACAAACCGACGTTTCGGGCCCTTTACAGGTCTCATGATCACGGTTGATTGAGGTGGTACAGTCTTCAACCAGTTATGTCTAATATTGATGCAAACCACCCTATTTTTTCACTATAGTTACAATAGTTATTAATTAAATACCTTATTTTTAATTTTGCAAAGAAAACATTCCAATTTACTTTTTTGTCTACTGACAACACGAACACGATGTGAAATGGCATAGCTATATTTTCCTTTCTATAATTATTAATACAGAGGCCGAACACTAAGAAAAAATCCTTCGATTCAAACCAGCGCCTTCAGCATACCGTGGCTGACGCTTTGGCTCTCCCAACTGAGCTTAAGGATTTTAACTTACTTTACTTCCTTTCTAGTGTTTAAAAGTAAGTAGTTCAATGTTTTATTAACTAAATTGATGTATGTGATTTCAGAACACGAGACCCGTCAGGCTCTTTGTCATTACAAACAGTGCAACTTGACAAAGAAGGATACTATGCCTGCGAAGCAAAAAACATTGGTGGCAATAAAACAATCACTTACGAAGTAAAAGTTCTTGGTAGGTTATTTAGGTTTGAAACATTTTAGGAAAAGAAACAAAGATTAAAATAAAAAATGGAAGAAATGTAGGTACATAAAATGGCGTTTTCTTAAATCTAGGTGCCTAATACTGGAAGTAATGGTAAGGTCGTATTAAAGTACCCAATCGTTACAAGATTTCGGCCTTGTGTGTAATTTTTAAAATACTGATTGTAACATTTTTATTTAAAAATATCGACTTCAAGGATTGCATAATAAATCGCTGTGTTTCATTTTTGAAATTACATCTTGTTATAATTATTAATACAAAGATCGAACACTCAGAAAAAACACTCAGAAAAAATTCCTTCGATCCGGTCGGATTCGAACCGACGTCTTCTTGCATACCGTGGCAGACGCTATACCAACTAAGCCACGGAACGAACCAACGGACCTCACGAATTTTTCTATGTGCTTGCGTCGTGTCTTTGTACTAGGTCTTTCAACGACTTTTCAGTCGTAGCGCCATCTATGAGAAATCTATGACAGATTTATCACCCAGTTAGTACCTTTACAGCTACCAGTCCTGGCGAGAGATGTCGGATCGAAGGAATTTTTTCTGAGTGTTCGATCTTTGTATTAATAATTATAACAAACTAGTGGAGTAATTTCACAAAAAATAATTGAATATCAATTCAATAAAAATTTAATTATTACATCTTGTGCCAAGTTTTATTTAAATTGGTGACAGTGGGTGAATTTTAATAAACCTTCTTCATCTCCTAATTTGCCACTCGTAGAGGTGGAATAATTACTTCAAATTTTAATGGGACCATTACTAAGGTACCATTATCGAAATGGAATTATCGAAATTTATTCACTAATGTTAGAGTAATTGCATAATATACACAAAAAATATTATTATAAAATATTTTTATACATGAAAATAGCATCCAAATATAAAATAAGTAAGTATGTACTTTAATATCGTTAAAAGTAACATTGTAGAAAATAAAATTAATTTGGGTTACACCATTTTTCGCTGATAGCCTAATTCTTGATTTAAATTATTATACGACCTCGAAATAGAAATTTGCAACGCATATTGCCATGGTTGACCAAAGTTTTACGACTTGGAATTTCCATTCCAACATAGCAGAAAGAAAGAAAAACTGGAAAAAAAAACATTCAGTTGCGACTATGGGATCTGTGAAGATCCCGAAACGTTGGTTTGTTCGAAAAAACAATATCCGAAAAAAAAAAGTTTTATTTCGTATGATTACATATTTCTGTTACACCCACCTTTGTATACTAGTTGTGTGTACTAGTGACAATAGCCAGCTATTGCAAATAGTTTTTTTAAAACCACACGTCCGTATTCAGCACATACGTTGAATACCAAAAATAATGTGGGAACATTAACGTAGAGCTATTCTATTTTAGCACCTCCACAAATACAAAACATATATCCAGAGAAAACCTTGAAAGCAGTTGTTGGAGACAAAGTGCTTAGAGTTCGATGTCAAGCTACAGGGAATCCGAAACCTGACATCATCTGGATTCAAGAGGAAAGCGGTACAATTCCTGCTGGTAAGATTATTCCTACTTCCAGCACCGTACTATTATTGAAGGGCTTAGCAATGAGTGTACTGTATACGTTTTTACAATAAGATTCCGGAGCATATATTAAGTTTATCATTTCCTAAGTTTAAAAACTACATTAAAAATATTTTGATCGAAAAATCATATTACAAAATTGAAGACTACGTGTTAGATAAAGATGTGTGGAAAGACGACACGGCTCCAGAATCCACACAAATTTGATTCAAAGTGTATTCCATAGCATTTAAGTTTATTTGAAAAGAGCAATCCCTAGAGTTTCTTGCTCGTTCTTCTCAGTGAGGTCAGCGTAGTAGCAGTAGCTTAAATGTGACGTTTTCAAGTGTAAATTTATTTTACCTATGGAATAAATAATCTTTGACTTTGACTTTGAGTGAAGCAGTGAAAAATAATTAAAAACAACTAGCATTGTGGTAGCGTCATAATGAAATTATTAGAGTAGCAGTAGCTGTAGAACTCCTAGAGAACAAGTCTGCCCAGGAAACTACAGTTATTGTACTTATTTCTGCACTGCTTTAATGTGAGCATTACTGCGTTTCGACTTTGAAGGGTAAGAGTGCTGGTGAAACTTTAGGTACATGAGACTTTTTTATGATATCAAGTGACGGAACTGACAAGTCGTGCACCCGGTTGTAAGCGACACGCCCATCCATGACAGTTGCAGCACCAATCAGAGTTTTATATCGCAAAGACTGATCGACACTGCCAATGCACCAGTCACCCTGAGACATAGTTGACAAGTCTCATTCAAAACCGAAACACAGTAATGTTTCTATTACTACTTGACAACAGAAACAGGTCAGATGGCAAGAGTTTCATGGACGAACTCTTTTACAAGCTCTACTGCTACTAACACTCTGGACTTTATGATTTAGGATTTAAAGTGGAATTTCCGAGTAGTACTGCTATTGTTAAGGTCAGACGTGGCGTACCTTTACGTGTGTACGTTTGTCCTTCGATTGATATCATATGCCTAAATAATACTTGGTATAATAAAAAAGTATTCACGAAATTTACTTAAATTTATGTTTCAGGTTCTGAATGGTACGATATTGATAACGATGGCACGTTAATTATCAAAAATGTTGGAAAAGATTCAGGGGGAGAGTATATATGTCAAGCACAGAATTCACTAGGAGTTGACAGAGAAAAGATTCATATTGATATTGAACGTAAAGTATTCTCATTTATATTTTTTTTTTGGTTACTTGATTACGAAGGAAAAAGGGAGTAGACTGGTCAAATCAGTTGATAAGATGATGGACAATGGGATTATAAATCATGGACACAGTGGACAATATATTATCAGGGCCATTTGTTAAATACTGATGTCAACACAATAAAAGGAAGGTTTCATTTATTTAAACTCGTGTTATGAATCTTGGAAACAAACGTTTTTATTTTTTTTTATAAAAAAATAAGCGCGCATTTGACCTCTATCTCACCTGATGGAAAGTGACGATGTGGTCGACGGTGGAGCATGCACACCTAAATAATGCCTATTCACTCTCGTCTATGTTCAGGGAACAAGTTTGCAGGCAGGGAATTCCACTCCATAGCCGTTCGCCTTATAAATATGGAAGCGAAATATTTCGTCCGAATCCTTGGAATATCCACAACATAGGGGTGAAGCCCCAGCCTACGCCTAGTCCCCCGATAGAATAGTCCCTATAAAATACCGATAAGCAGGCGACTTTACGACGGTGTCTCTACTGTTACCGAGTCACCTCTTGGCGAGTTCAAGGTGTCCAGTTGGTATTTAGCAGAACCATGGCATAAGGGACAGCAGCACTCCATATACGACCGGACTTGTGCTTGGCATAGCTGAAGCAACTGTCCCGTTATAGTATATATTATGGTACACGATTAGCGTCTTTTTTCTTTTTTTTGGATTATTTGACACTTTTGACAGATCTGTGCTTGGTAGTAAGCTAGCAAGTTCAAACGTGCAAGCGTCCCGCTAGACCCCTGCTCCTGCGTTTTGCATCGGACTGGTATTTACTCTAGCCTTAGAGCATAAGACACTAGCGCTTTTTTTTGTTACTGTTTAGAGCGATCTATTTAAATATTTTTATTTTCATATGGAAGTAAAATCAGACGAATTATTAAAAGTCATGGGCAGATATGATGTTAGTAATATAGTCCTGTTGTTGTTGGTATTTTACTATGATGACCCTGTATAATTCAAGGGCTGTAATTAGATAGTCAAGGCTATAAGATGGCGTATGGTTTAAGAAGAAGAATTTATCATTTATTTATTTGAGGAATCAGCAATTACGTATTATAATAAATGGCATTTCACTTGGAGTAATGCCGCCGATATTAAAAGAATTTTTGTCTTGCAGAAACGTGCGGTTAGGGCAATTTACAATCTGGGTCCCAGAGTGTCGTTGAGAGATAAGTTTAAAGAGATTAACAAACTCACGTCGTACGTAACGTCAGTTACATTTACATTTATGAAAATGTTATTTATAATTATTAATTCAAAGATTTATTTATTTATGTTACGAAAAATACTAATTTTTTTTTTTATGAAAAACTGACGGACGTAAAATTAACAGTGGAATAAAAACAATCCTGTCTTGACAGTCGTCTTCATACAGTCTCACATTCATTTAACAGGCAATGTAAACAGTTCTATAATTATGTTGAAAACTATAGTGAAACAAAAACTTTTACTAAAGATTATTATACAGCTTCAAAATCGGTGATAGTGACCCGTTTAGCGCATGCAGGTAGTTTTGATCTAGAATGTTTAAATTACATATTGTAATGATAAATGTATATTTACAAAGAGCAACTCCTAGAGTTTCTTGCTCATTCTTCTCAGGGGAATCTGCCTTACGAATGAGTTTAATCAGTATGACGATTACAAGTGTAATTTGCTTACCTATGAAATAAAGATTATGTGACTTGGACTTTATGGATAACTGAAGTAAGAAGCTGTTAAGGGCATTTCTCCAAAGTCGTAATTTTCTGTGTCCATGAACTAAACTCCACTTATTTCTCAAAACAAAAATCTACAAAAAATGGAGTGTATAACGTCTGCTTAAAAGTGACATTCCAGAAATCCACAAAAATTCTCCAAATTGTGTACCTGTTGAGAGAACATCACCATCTTTCTGCAAATAAAACCACTTATTGAGTTTATAGCTTTTTTGTTATTGAGTTTCACCTGCAGAAGGATAGTGGATTTTCTTACCAAAGCTATATAAAGACTTTTTGTAGAAAATGTCACTTATGAGGTTTTACCTTTAAACAGAAGATAACATTTATTGCCAATTTTAGGACTTTTTGCGTGTAAATATCTAATTAGGTGGATTTGGTCCAGGTTGAAATTTGAATTCGGTGTATACGATATTTCAAAAACTAAATTTTATGGTTATGTAATATTTTTTATAATATATGTTGTAACAAATAGAATATAATAACAATTTATTGATTTTACAAGTATTGTCTTTTACGAGTAATATCAAAAATAGTTATATTTTCTGAATCCCGCGGCCTTGGTTTCGGTGGATTTTATGCCACCGAATTGAGAAAAGCTTCCCCCGAAATCAGAAAAAACTGCCTTCGAACCAGATTTTCTTCGAAAAACAAGAATTTTGTAAGTTTTTTCATATAAATGTTTAGTTAATATTATTGATTTTCACAATTTTATATTAGTACTTGCTATCGGTGAAAATGAATAAGGAAAATCAAAACAGAAAACAAAAAGAAGATGAAGGAACGTGTTAGAAAAGCAAAGATAAAAAGCGATCCAATTATATTTGAAAGGTTTAACGAAAAAGCGGAAGGAATAATTTTGAAGTTGCATGAAGTACCTTGTCATGTTTAAAAAGTAATGTAAGGTATTAATCTCGCAATTTCCAACAAAAATGATAGCTTTTGTATCCAATTTTAGATTTTGGGTTCGAATCCGTAGGGATTGCGTTCTAATTTTTTTTTAAAAGAGGTACAGAAATACTTTGTGTGACTGAAAAAAGGTTGACCAGGCAAACTGAAAACTGATTTTAATTAACAGTCTTAAGTTGAAATTTCTTTGCGTTGTTCTGGTCTGTTTACAAATAAAAATAAAAATTTTAGTTTTAAAGCTAGATTTAATAGTTAGTCATATTAGTAAATGTTTATGTAGATTTGTGGTTGTCTATGTAGGTGTCCATGACACCCGCGACACAGAGTTTCCCTGGTGCGGGGCTATGTTGAGTGTGTGCGTTATTGTATGTTTTTTATTGTCTTTTGCTAAATTATTCTGATTTCAGTGGTATTTGAATTCGGTGGATCAATAAGTTAAGAATTTAGTTGCTTAATTAACGAAATCTTATGTAAGTCTGAGTTATTTTTCCTTCCCGCTCAATGTTTTTCCTGAAATTAACAAAATAAGTTCGTCCATCGAAGTCAGAGAACTTACTCCTTCTGGGAAAAATGTCCTTAATAATTTCTTCTGATATCTCTTCCGTTGCCTTCCCCGAAATAATAGTAATCGTTTGTTTCACAGCTTATCCTAGACCTGATATTCCTAAATCAAAAACATTAATTGAAGAGGGTCACTCGAGCGACATCGAATGCAATATTCCTCATACAAAAATTGACTCCTTGAATTGGTTCAAGGTTTGTATGATAATGTTTATAAATCATTACCATAGTGTAATAAGACAAGTATGGTAACTCTATACAAACGTAGCGGCGTGGATTGTATATGTGCGCGCCCGTTCGTCGCGAGCCGTGTACGGACGCACACATTCGTGATATGATATTAGTAGAGAGGCTTGGTTGACCTACTTTTAAGTGGTAACAATAAATTTACAGATAATCAAACTGCTGTTAAAGAAGTAATAAAACCATATTTTAATTGAATAAAAACAAAGTGATGTTTATTTTTAAGTAATATCTAAATCCTCTCTACATATGTCATTTTAAATGTATAAGGGAGTGTTTAAAGTAAAAATTTGGATATTTTTAGTTTAATTTATAAAAATTTATCGATGCCGTTTTACTCGTTAGGTAACGTACTTTCGATATCTGTTTGAAGGTTTTTGATATCTCTTATACATATTTACGGAACAATCGCCTGATTACACTTAATGATTACACCCTGTATTAGTGATGCGACAGACCTCTGCTTCTGCTTAAGTACCGCACGCTTTTTTGCGTCTGTTTCCGTTTCCGCAACCTTTATAACAACCTTACAATCGGAAGTTTACAACGTTCAACACGGATCTCAGGCGCCCATGTCACTTAGCGTTGGAGCGTGCGTCTTTTAGCAGGTAAGATTAAATATGAAGCCAAAACAAGCCCTGCATGGAACTATTTCGTTGAGATCTTTATAGTATTTACACTTTTGCTTCAGCATTCGCTTCCGTTTCTGCTAAGACTTACTTTAGAAATCTGTTTCCGTCATGACACTTCCGTTGCATCACTACCCTGTATATCAGAATAGAAGTTATCAAACGTCTAAAAAGATCTTTCGAAAATTTGCAGGATGGTAGATTGATAGCAAAAGGCGAACTTCGTTTGGAGAACGTGCAAACTACAGACTCTGGTATTTACACTTGCCGGGTGAGCACGTTTGAGAAAGCACGTAACGCAAACGTACAAGTCACGGTTGGCTCTAAACCGAGATTCTTAAATCCTGCAGACAAACATATTGAGTTTTTAGACGGTTTTACTGCTGTTATGGATTGTAATGTTGAAGGAAACCCTGAACCACAGGTAAGAAGAATTTAATACGAAATATCATAGATTTCTCATAGATGGCGCTACGGCTAAAAAGTAGTTGAAAAACCAAATACAAAGATACGACGCAAGCACATAGAAAAATTCGTGAGGTCCGCTTGTTCGTTCCGTGTCTTAGTTGGTATAGCGTCTGGCGCGGTAAGCTAGTAGACGTCGGTAGAATCATTTTTTAAATTTAAAAGGAAGAATTTAACTTAATTTGTAAAAAAAATGGAGAAAGGTCATTCTCGGGGTATATACATATGTCAACCAGATTGAGGACATCCTTCAAATTGCCAGTTCAAGTTTTAATAACAAACAGGCGTATAGCAACAGTAGCTCCTTATGAAAGAGTTCGTCCAGGGAAGTACTGCCACCTTATCTATTTCTGCCGCCAAGCAGTATGTGAGCATTGCTGAGTTCTGGGTTTGAGGAGTAATGGTGCTGCTGCTGAGTTTACAGGCTCATGGGATTTGTTAATTTACGTCTCAGGGTGACAGGCCCGGCTTGTCCGTCCCTTCCATATTTTTTTTTTCACCCTCTAAGGTCTCGACACTTGGTATCGTAACAAATAAACTTATCCGAATTCAAATTATAGTACGAGTGGCCATAGCATGTGACCTGTAAGTGTGATAAGCCTCCCCATGATAATATTTTTTTCAGGTGATAAAGCTAAGTTTTCTTACTGGTAATGAATATTATTGCACATTTTGAAGAACAAGGTCAACGATATGAAATTGCGTATATCTTTGTCGTTTAATTATTGTCGCGAAACCGACAAATGAAAAATGTCGGATTTCTGTTTAGTTTGTCGGGTTTTTACATAATATTTTACATTGTATTAGTAATTATTTACGTATTTCTCATTACTCTCTTGTATTGAACTGTATTAAAAATGTTCTCCTCACCTTTTCCAATAATTTATGTGAATCAGTTTGTTTGTTTTTATTATTTCTTTTTATCTCGTTTATCGCGCTCAATTTTTACGTTGATAAAATTACTGCGCAGAACTGTCAAAATGATTTAAAATCATCTGTGATCTTGTACATGTTTGGCACTGAGTTAATCTTTTGCAGTCATTGGTCGCGGCGCTCGTGGTGACATAAAAATGTGACATCAAGGTGCTCGCCATATTAGCTATGGTGATAAAATTTCAAATAATTCGAATTTAAGAGATAAATGTGGGGGCAGGATGCCGAATTATTTTGGGTCTTAAAACTTTAACGTAAGCGCTAATGTTGAGTTTTAACATCAATGATAACAGAAAAAAGTTCTAAAAGTCAAAATACAACTTGTAGCCTTCAAATCTGTAATTGTGACCCCCGTTTTAACCCCCGACGAAAATAGTGTTTAACTTTTGTCTGTGTATCATTGTGTGTCTGTATCTCTATCGCAGCTCCAAAACGGATTTCAAATCCAAACGGTTTTTTTGTTATTTGAAATCTGGATTTTGTCTCTATTTCTGATTATAAACTCGATGTTACTATGTCACTGGATTGCGTATTGTAGGAAATGTTGACAAGGCATATTCACTTCTATTTGCACCATGAACGAGTAAACACTCTATCTACGACTGTTCCTGTTTCTTTTTTTTCTTTCTTTTTTTATAAATTGAAATTTAGAATAACACATATTTACAACAGCACTCAAAACTAATTTTCGAGAAATATTATTGACGTAATTTGTATTCCAGGTATCCTGGTGGAATGGTGGAGGACAAATACCTTTTAAAGGTATGACTTATACTATCGATATGAAAGTATCGAATATGGGCCAATACACATGTTTGGTTAAAAATAGCTATGGAAGCATATTACGCCAATATGAAATTTCATCAAAAGGTATAACTTAATTTATACAAGTAACTGCACACAATATGCTACGATGTTTTATAAATGCACATAATGTAACAAGATATACACGCCCTTAGGTTCCATTGGTAGGCAAACACTATAGATCAACTTAGCACGATCCAGACAAAGCTCTCTTGCCTCACTTACATTTACGTGGGCGCACTATAAGTTTTCGGAATGAATAAAAAAAAATGCTATAAATGGTCAGAAATGAATTTATTGTTTCTCAAAATACTCTCCGTTAACGTTTACGCACTTAACGCACTTTCTCTTTTTTTTTAATTTTATTAAGAAAACCAACGGCTTTACATAAAATATTTTACATAGTGTGTAGGCTAAGAGTAAAGCTAATGACAGATTTCCCTTGTTTACATATCATTATATAATATTAAACGAAAGTAGGTACATCAACATTAGTGGTGAATGAACAATATTACTAACTAGTTTTAGATGCCAAAATCACAAAATCACTTGTTGTTTAAAGATAAAATAAGAATCCCAGTAATGTTAATGTAAACAACTTGTCATTACGCCAAGCAGAAACTACTAAAAAAGTGACCTTTTTAATGCAGCTACTGTCTTTCGTATTGTCACCAGAATGATGAAATGAAGTTACTAGGGTACCTATTCTACTACCATTCTTCATGTAAGCAACCGCCGAGGATGGATAGTAGCATTTCTACATTAGTTAAAATATTATTAATAGTTTTAAGATGCAATGTCCCATGCGATATGAAAATTTTGTGTCTTTATATAGTGATAAATGTATTTATTAACAAATATAGTGCACAAAGTGCAATTGTATTTTAGAATTATTATATTGTAGATAAGCATAGTCGACACTTCGCGCATTTACTAATTGATCGTGCCAAACAAAGTTTTGTGTACCTGTTTTTTATATGTGTGCTTAGAAAGCACACATTTAAATACGAACATTTTCATACGAATGAACCAATTCTGAAAATATTTACACCACTCCTCGGTGACAATCTCTGAAACATATTTTTCATACTCTTCGACAGCCTCTTCAGGTGATGAAAATCGTTGACCGCGTAACTGCTTTTTAATTTTTGGAAATAAATAAAAGTCACAAGGTTGGGACTATACGCGGGATGGCTCATAAGGTCAACGTTGTTCATCTTCAAAAATTCATTTGTCTGTCTGGCCGTGTGAGAACTGGCATTATCGTGGTGCATGATGATACGGCGTTTACGGTTATTTTTACGGAGTTTGTCAATAACTTCCGGCAAACAAATGGTCGTGTACCAATCACTATCCAAGGTACAATAATTCTCCAAAGCAACAGTAGTCACGTGTCCAGTTTTATTAAAAAAGAAACAATCATCCGCTTAGAGGCACTTTGCACGCGCGCCACTTTGGTTGGTTTCGGCTCACCTTGAAAGGCCCGTACGCTCGATTGCTGCTTTGTTTTGCGATCGTAACTATAAATCCATGTTTCGTCACCTGTTAGGTACTATGTCCTACAACAAATTTGACGTCATTTGTCACTGAGATTCACACGACCGCGTATGAATTCTGCAAACCAGCTATAAATAGTCGTCGTGCATGGTGCTTCATCGCCAAAAGCAGTTTGAAGCCGAGCGAAGCTCCGCTGAGCTATTAAATTACACTTCAAGTCGTAGAAAATCATACTACGAAAATTTTCACGAGTTAAATCCATGGTGATGTAGACAACCAATTTCTAAAATGACGCGACAATGTAAAAACAAGTGACAGTCAGATGCAACAAACTGTATTCTACAGCCAAAGAGTTCCATTTTCAAATGTTGTAATTACTTTAAATATTGTTTATGTAAGTGGCCAGTTCCAGAAACTTATAGTGCGCCCTATGTGTCTAATTTTTCATATCTCTTATTTTTCTCACTACGCACCCTTTTTAAGAACACTCTCAATTTGATCTGAGAATGTCCTTCGAGAACGGTCTCTTTCATAGAGCCTTCCACGTTAGCCGTATATATTTCCTTCGTTAATCAACATTCATTCATTCGCTCCATGTGCCCATGACATTTCGACATACCCTTCTCTATTTTTCTCACTACATCCTCTTTCAAACCACATCGTTGACGGATCACAGTATAATGTAACAAATGATTGTAATTTTCAGATTGTATGTTAAACATTAAATATGATTTTGATGCAAAACAGCCTCTTATGGTATTACAACTATCTGATAGCTTGATATGGCCGTCGTCGTTTGAAAGAGTAGGCGAATACGTGAGGATACCAAATGGTCAACCAGTACGTTTATCTTGCCCCAATGGTTTTCAACACTTCCCAACAAACGACATCATGGTTAGGTGTCTTAAGCAAAAACAATTCTTGTATAATGGCAAAAGTCACGAATTTCAAAAATTTCAATGTAGGACAGAACACAGACCAATTTTAAGAAAAACTGGTGAAAGTTGCCTACCTGGTAACACTGAAAAATTAAGAATTGGTTATGAAGCACTTGGACAGTTCTTGGAAGTATACAGTGTCTGCTTTGATGTCGATAATTTCGTGCCTATTTATGCAGAACATAACATTGACCGTAACGTAGCAGCCGAAAAACTGAAAAGAGAAGAATGGTACGCGAATGAATACACATTTTTTGACTTAGAAACTATTTACAACTGTAATAAGCAAATGGCTATATTGAAAATTTTGGGGACTGGATCTTTTTGGGATAACAGATGTTGCTTTTCTAAAAGACAGTTGATAAATTCACGAGATGTTTTACCTGGTTTATCTCAGAGAGCTACGTACAATCTTCTAAATGTGGTCCCTCAGTGGTCTTCATGCAACAGCAAGGTAACTTATTCAGTTGCCAATAAATCGATCGTTTAAAGTCATTGCAACGAATACCAATGTTTCGACAACTTATTTTTTCAGAACTGGGATAGCATAGAAGAGCTAGTAAGAAACTTGGCAAAATTCACACCTGGTTTTCTTAAGATTTGGACAGGTAGATCACAGCAATTGCAAATATCTGGCAAAGCTGTCAGTCTCGTGGATCAGAACGGAGAACAGCAGTCGGTGCCTCAATTTTTATGGAAGGTCTAATGCTAAATTATTGTACTGGTTTTTGTTAATATCTCCCATCATGACAAATTAATGAACTTATGTGCCGGTGAAACCACTACTATGCCTGCGTTGGATGTTTTACACTTTGCTTACTTCATTAGGTTTTCCTCTTTCTTTTTATCTAATTGTTTCTTTTATTTCAAGGTGGTACAAGACCCTGCTACTCGAGAATCGGTAGCCATCATCCAAGTTAACGTCCCTTATTTGACTGAATCTGACGCAATGCGTTATGTTCGCTGCAGAGATGTCTGCAACGAAATCGAATGGATGGATGGAAGGTAATAACGGTTTCAAAGTCCTACGATCGTAACTCTAGAAGTTGATTGCCTTTATTTAATTTATTAACTTGTTAATGTTGCAAGGTCCTGGCGTGACGTCAGAAACGGGTTCATTTATTGCTGCAACATCAAAGAATTCGAAGCAAACTTCGGCTACCACGGCATCTTCAACAGCGGTGATGGAAAGCTGCTTTACAGGAACGCACCTGCTCTTCCTAGTTTTACTTTGTAAAAAATAGTCTAAAAATATTTTTTTTGTCTTTGTTGTGGTTTAAAAAAACAATTGTTTCGAATAACATTTAGGTTTAACTAATACCACTATTTGAATGTTCAAAGGTTAGATTTTGTTAACAACACAATAATGTACGAGTAGCCCAAAAAGATAAAGAAATTAAATTAAACGAAAGGCTTAACTATCATATTTGTATTATTTCACAGCCGAATCTAACCTAACATCTCATTCATCCATCTAAGACTGAGGAAAAAAAAATCAACGTTTTTACATATTTCAATATCTTCGATCAAGAAAGTAATTGCATAGGTACAGAAAAAAAATTATGAGCACAGAACAATATACACAATAGAAGTGCTTAGATTGCATGACACGTGTGCCAACAGTACACGGAGTTGCACATACTTGAGCTCAGTTCGCCATTTCCGAAATGATAGTCGTACCTGCTTAATATTGTCCATGGTGTCAAAGTCAAAGTCAAAGTCAAAGTCAAGTGACGACTTAAGACGACATGGCTCCAGAATCCACACAAATTTTATTCAAAGTGTATTCCATAGCATTTAAGTTTATTTGAAAAGAGCAATCCCTAGAGTTTCTTGTTAGTTTATCTCAGGGAGGTCAGCGTAGTGAACGAGCAGTAGCTTAAATGTGACGTTTTCAAGTGTAAATTTATTTTACCTATGGAATAAAAAATCTTTGACTTTGATTTTGACTGATTCGTTCCCGCCAAACGCGTCAACCAATTGTAACAACCAATCCAACTTCCCTGATTGGTTCAGTGGTGTTATCATAAAAATTTGTGTTGCTATCATATAAAGAAATTGACTACTTAGCTCGATAAAAACCGTAAAACCGAAAACCCTAACAACTTGCACTGTTTTGTTCTCTTTCGTTTCATTTTCGGTTATACCATTTTAAGTAAATAAATGAATATTTTAATGTTTAATTTCTTTTTAATTATGACTTATAATAGTGACTAATATTACCCGTAATAGAAGCGCCTAGTTAAATAAACTTTTTTTTAATGCTAGTAAGTGACGGGATGAACGAGTCATCCATGATAGTTGCACTGACTCAGAGTTTTCGATCACAAAGATCTGGGTTATTTACAGGCTAGTTTTCTCTACCTAATTTCGATGGCAATTTTTATTATTTAAATATTCTAGAATATTATCATGAAGTGTTACGTAATATTCGACTGTAGTCCCCTGAAATATAATTCAGTACTTCACCCCTTTGTTATATAACTAAGCTATGTACAAAAGAGCAATTATTAACACCTAGGTGCGCAGTTAATGAACAAGTGTATAGTTATACTGAAAATAAAACGTTTAAACGTTTAAACGAAGTTTATTATAACTTACAAAGTTATGCGACAGTAAATACTTGCGTCTGAAATTTTGAACCGTTTATCGTGTTCGTCGCGGAGATAAAAAAAATAAAAATAAAATAAAAAGCATTTATTTCGGACTACAATAAGATCCATAAAAAATGTTAGTATTACAGCAAAAACTTAAATGACTATGTTAGTACGTAAACTTAAATGAAGAGAGGACCAGTGCCTTAGCAGTCCACTGTCCCATCTGTGTGCAACAACTGTCAAGAGTTTCTGGCAGCTGTCGCGCACCCTACGCATTGTCGCGGCGCAGCGCTTGCGCAACGTCGCTTCGAAGCCGTCAACACTCGCATCCGCGAACATCCCGGACGCACTACAGTGTCGCGGCAGCCGCAACAGAACCCTGAACGCGTCGTTGTACTGTACACGCATTGCATTCAAAGACTTTTGTGTGTACCTGCACCATAAACTAAAGGTGTACAGCGATGTGCAGTAAGCTTTAAATAAAGTCAGTTTTACCTGTGCCGTACATCGACTGAACCTACGCGCTATCATATTAGCTCTCATTGCTAATGCTCTACGTTCCCTCTCAATATCTGCGTTATCGCGCAGATCGTCTGTTATACCGTGACCAAGATATTTAAAAGAGGTCACTCTATTCAGCTGTTGACCGTTAAGACGAATGGGGGGACATGTGATGGGTACTTACTTCCCGCCTTAAAAACCATATATTCACTTTTGAGCACATTATTTTTTGAGCACAACATTTTGGGCATACGATTCGCATATGTCTATAAGTACTCTTAAGCCACCGACAGATGGGCTCCGACATGCGTGCTGCTAAGCTCACCTATCAGGGCATCAACGTTCAGATTGAATAATTTTGGCGACTAATAAACGCATGCACAAGCCAAACGCATCTATTCCACACGAAGCCCTGCAGGAGCTTTGATGAGTGGTGTCTGTCCTCCTTATTTAAACTAATTATTCTTTGTTGCGATTAGGGGAAGTTGGGTTTTTTGAAAACGAGGCACCTATCCCACTGCGGCATCTATCCCGGTTTTACCCTATTTTATTATCGTATTATATATATAAGGAAAATTGGTAAATGATAAAGAATGCAATATAAATTATTACTAAGACACACACGGACTTTACGTAGGCATCTGAACGGGATAGCCCGGACGTAAATACCCATTGATAAAAGGTTGCAGTAAAACTTTGAAGTAATTTAATTTTAACATGCGCCTGGTAGTAACCAACATATTTGTCCGTAGCAGATGCAGTGCCACTCAGAGTTTTAAATCGCGAAGAGCTGAGGAACACTGCCGCTGCTCCAGTAATCTAGAGACATAAGTTAACAAGTCCCACGTGCCTCTAATTTCACCAGCACCCTTCAAAACCGGAACGCAGTAATGCTCACATTAGCGCTTAACGGTAGAAATAGGTAAGGAGCCTGTACTTAATTTTTTTTTGTGCACTGGAAAATGCTTTACCTCGCCGCGGGCGATGACGTGGCGGAGTTATGTGGGACTGTCCTCCGTTGACCCACCCGGTGATACAATATCGCCCGATAGATCCCCGGAGGCCTGCACATTAAAAACCTGTGTATGCAGCTCACCCACCCGTGCCGGCTCGTGGATCCAGTTAAGGAAGTATAATTACGAGGCCTGTGTTTATGTAAAACAAAATCTAAACAACTTTAATATAGTCAACACTAGATATCCCAGAAACAAGGAATAAAATAGGAGTACGACCCAAACAACGCACTGATTTGTAATTTTACAGTAGAACGATGTTCGTATTAGCATCCAAATTATTTAATAAACAGCCGGATGCTGTTATAGAATTAAAGTGTAGACAATTTAAAATGAAATTGCATAATTTGTTACTTACTCAATGCTATTATTACAATATTTATGATTTTTTACGTGATGACATAAAATGTAAAATTTAGCTATTGTATGTTATATTTTTGGCTTCTTATTTTCTGGTTAAATTCCAATTATTTTAGTTTGTTTATGATATTGTTTTAATTTAACTATAATGCATGCTATGTCTAAAGTGACATAAGCATTGTGTAAAATATTTGCATGCCAAGTATTCGAGAAATGTACAATCTAATAAGATATATTATAAGACCTGCATTGTTAACTACATTTTTCAGCGAATAAATCTTGTATTCTAAGACTGGCCACTCACCTCGGTACGGGAGTACTTCCCTGGATGAACTCGTTATTGCGATTTTAACCTCTGAGTGTTATTGCAACTGTTATGGACAGGCGTGTTCCTCATATATATATATGTCCCTCCCTACTTCAGTGGTGTCAATCATATTTAAATAACAGGTGTTCTAGAGTTGTAATTGATGGTTATAGTTCAAATCCTTTTATTTCATGCTCTGGAGTGCCGCAAGGTTCAAACCTTGGGCCATTGTTTTTCATTATATTCATTAATGACATTGAAAGGTTGTTTAAGAACTCGATCTGCTATTTGTTTGCTGATGATCTTAAAATAATGCGGGTTATTAAAAGTCTCAATGATGCTGATTTGTTGCAGGCTGATATTTATAGACTCATTGATTAGTGTCACATTAAAAAAAGGTATCTGAATTCAGTGTAAGTGCTTCCATATTAAGTTCACATTAAAACGTAAACCTCACAGTCCCCAGTACAATATCTCAGGTGAAACTGTTAAAGAAGTTTCTAAGATACGAAACTTGGATGTAGTGGTGGACTCGGGCTTTAATTTTCTATTCACATTGACAGTATGCTGGCCGCTGCTAACAAATCACTAGGATTTATTTTTAGAAATAGAAAGGAGTTCAGGAAGGTTTCCACTACCTTATTACTATTTAATGCCTATGTCAGAAGTAAGCTTGAGTACTGTAGCATTGTGTGGTCCCCGACATATCGACTCCATGTTGAGAGAATTGAAAGAGTCCAAAGAAGGTTTCTACGACACCTGGCGTACCGCTTCAGGCCGCCTCATGACGTAAACTGTTACAGTGCCCGACTTGAGCACTTTGGCATGCAAACTTTGAATGGTAGAAGAAATACTTTAGGCTTATGTTTCTTACATAAAATTATGAACGGCATGATAGACTGTCCGTCTATTCTCAATAAATTTGGTTTGCGAGTCCGCCTCGACAGCCGCGTCCTTTATTTCATGTCCGTTTGTGTAGACCGAATGTAGGAAAGCATTCGGGCCTATCTAGTTTATATAATCGAGTGTCCGGTGAAGATGAAACTGTTGATATATTTTGTGATACATTATATAAATTTAAGGAAAGAACAATGTTGTAGCTTTAGCTTAGGTTTAATTAATTTATTATTTTTATTATTGGATTTCAATTATTATTATTATTGTTAATTTTAATTTCATTTTATCGGTAGACATTTTTTTTGTACATTTAAATATACATGCAGTTCCTTGCTGTGGTTGCCTATAATTGAAGTTGCAACTATATGTTAATTAATAAGTATTTATTGTTTTGTATACGTTAAGTTGTAAACTTTGTTGGCAATCCTTAATAAATAAATAAATATCAAATATCAAAATAAATAAATATATATATATTAGCGATCATTGATAACATGAACACATGTGAACATTCCTAAAAGTCTCTAGACATATAACAAAATACCCCTTATCACAATTCTCCAGTAACATTTTTTTTATATATAAACGCAGTGAAATTGTAGTTTTAATCAGTATATAATATTCTCGTGATGACAACGAATAAAAATGTCGTGTGTAGAATGTTTCTATAGACAGGTCATATTACTTTTAATAATCAAGAGTGTATATGGTGATTTTATAGATCAGAATAGTAAAAGCAGTTTAGCCTTCGTAATAGATGACACTTCTTCTATGAGAAATGATATACGTCAAGTAAGGAAGGGTGTAAAAAGTATTTTTGATATTGTGAAGAATAAAAATTCATCTCAAATCGAAGATGTTATTCTGGTGACTTTCAATGACCCAAGTAAGTGTTTTTAACCTGTAAAACACACAATAGTTCAAATTATTTCGTAAATAGTTCTTGGTACCACCACTTCCTTAAGAGTCTATACAACCTCAAATGGCTTTGGTTGATACCGCATAACAATGAAAGTGTGCAATCAATCAATTTGGAAAAATAAAATAGTAAAATTGAGGATATGCACTGATTACTATATGGTGTGAAAACACGATTGAACAGCGTCCCTGCCGCTCGACCAAGCCAAATGAATAACTGCAAACAAATTAAGAACTCCACATACAAACATTCACACGCACACGCAAACACACGCGTTCACACACACACACACACACACACACACACTCACACACACACACACCCACACCCCCCCACACACACCCACACCCACACACACGCACACGCAGGCACACACACACACACACACACACACACGCACACACACAAGCGCACACAAGCGCGCACGCACGCACGTACTGGCACACACGCACGCACGTGTGCGTCCACACGCCCGTGCGTGCGTGTGAGCAAGATGTAGGTATATTGTTTTGTATTTTGTGGTGAGAAATAAACATATTTATTTTATTATTATTTATTATTATTGCTTTCCAAGGGACCCTAAGGGCGCGTCGTCCCATTACGTCGTGACGACATATAGTCGTGCAGTTTAAAGCGTCGTGACTTGTATATTTAAACAAAGTTGTTCACTCATAGAACAACACGATTAACTGCCGTTCGACTTTTTTGACGTTACGACTGTCGTGACAATGGGAAGAGTTAGAACGACAGACGTCAGATGATAAATAAAATGTCACAATAAAAATGTGACGACAGATAATCGCAGCTTCAAACAATTGCTTCTGTCGTGCAAACTACAAGGCGGCTGCCATGAACAGATAAATAGTCGTCACGATCTTGTGGGAACAGCTAGACACAACAGTTGTTCAACGATAAAATAAACGTCCACAACACAGTCACGACAGATAGTCGTGATATGGGAATAGGCTAAACACGTCGTCGTTCAACGATAATTAAAATCTTACGACATAATAGGAACGCGCTCTTACACTATCTTAGGAAGTTGTAACAAATGGTTAGGGAGTTAGTCCCTAATTCAGCCGACTTATGTATAAGTTCATAAAACGTTTATTAATTACACTACTCGATTTCATGGACCCTGCGTCAAGGTCGTGGACGTGGCTCTTAATTAGGGCGCCGCTCATATTAACTTATCGACATAACCCACCGAATAAACGTGAAAAGGAAAAAGTGTTACTTTACAGGAGCGATTAGAAACTAAATTAAAAATATAATATTACTCATTGGTGATTGGATATACTGAAATACAATGTATGGCCTAATTAAAGATAAAAATCATTATAATTTATATTAAAATATGAAACATGAAAATATTGATAGTTTATGAGAAATTCACAAAAAATCCTTTAAAATTTTTACACACGTCCGTATTTCCATGGAATTACTTTTACGTATTGTGTAACTGGGCTGTGGAACGAAATGAGCAAAAGGAAATCAAAAGTAATGAAAAAATATCGAGGACGTGTTTAAGAATAGGCTCACTCTTTTAATAGACATAGTAAAACAAGTTGCAGGAACGACTAATGACGGGAACAGTACAAAAGTTCTTCGAGTAGGTATTCCGATAGAATAGAAGCAATTACTGGATTGGAAGATCGAGTGTGTAGGTTTGTGATTTTTCAAGCAAAAAAATATATGAGGTACAAAGATATTACTAAATTAAAACATTATGCCTTCGAAACAGCACAGAAGTACCAACGTATGGTATCACAAGAGCCGGTATAATCGCCAACAATGCAATAGAGCCAATTGGGAGCCTTTCAGAAGAAACCAGAAGCCTCATGACAAGGACAACAAAAGCTTTAGAAGGTTTAGGGAATACCATTCATGGAAAAAGGGCAGCCCCATATATTTCTACGTTAGTTTTGATTATAGTGTCCCTCACCGTTGTCCCAGTCCGCGCACAGGAACCTTGCAAGTTCAGGTTCTGACCCCAGATCAGCCAGTGTACAGGATTGTCACAGACCTCTGTCACTTGACTGTGTGCGTTATTATTATTATTATATTGACTTCATCCTGTTCTCGAGAGGCTGGTGTCTCAGGTGAGACACCCCGGGTGCACATACGGTAAACTCCTTACTCTCCAGATAGGTACCGGTGCTGTAGGCACGCTCACTTCCCGTTGCGCATTGTACACACGCCAGCACATCAAGCTACACATTGACGTATCTTGTTCCGTTGCAATGGAGGCGATTTTTGAACAAAAATGTGTTGTCTGATGAGCCGTTGTCCGTACAACTAGCGGTTGCCACCGCTAAGCTGTCGCCACCGCTAAGCTGTCGACTCTAAAGCTCACTACCAAATCTCCTCATTGGTGGTGGAGAAGGAGCTCCAGTTCCCAGTAACCTTAGCGGCTGGAGGGACCGGAGAATATCTAGCTTATCCTCTAATAGGTCTCTGGGCTAGTACCGGAGATGTCAGTCGTAGTGTCCTGTGACAATGTCCGGAAACAGCTTCCAGCTTAAAGGGCAACTCACATGCCCTGCGCGTCTCCTCGCTTCTGGCCTTCAATTAGACCGCTAGGTACTAAGACGCGCTAGCTGCGCACGAGACAGACGCCCCAGCCACATGCATCTGGGGCAGAGAAATATGTCCTTCTCTGCAGCTCACCACACTCCCCAGCGAGTCCATAACCAAGTACGGGTCCACCAGAGACGCCTGTGAAGGCGTGTCACTGGCGGAGGGCTTGACCCTGACGGCCGGTGTACCATGGTCTTGCTGTCAAGCCCGTAGTCTTTCCGGAAAACCCTATCTCTCGGGTCGGTAGATAGGGACATCTCGGGTCGGTAGATGGAAAAAGAGCCGGCAAGCTTCTAACGAGGTTATTTTCAATGTACTTGTAGAATTTCTTCCCACCCTCTCATTAATTCATGAAGACCAAATATAATAGCCGAGAAAAGGTAGACATTTTTCCCGGAAACTCTGGATTTCATAAAATGTCCAGAAAATCAATTAGAGTTTTTGGATTATATCCAATCTAAATCCTAATTTCTCGAAATATCTACTCCTTTAACATCTCGCATACTCTTAGGGATCATTGTATTTTTTGTTATTAAATAGGCTTTATTTGTATAGTCGTATTTTACATATAATTAAGAGAAATATTGTGAAGTTTGTGGTTTCCTTATTACGCACAATTACAATATTATTACCTACCTTTGTTTTATTTTAATTTTCAATAAAAATTTAGTTGTCATTTTTTTACAATTTTTAAGTCAACTGAGATGCATGAAAGATGCTAAAAATGTTATACCATTAGCATTAAAATTTGTCGTTATCGAAAAAAATATAAAACAATTTTGGGCATTAAAACAAATTTAGCAGTAATTAGCGTTATAGGAAATACGTCGAAAAGTAAGAAATAATTAGTACCTACGAGGATATTATGGTTTTCCTTGTAATTCCAGAAATAAATTTGTTTTTCATACCAGTCTGATACGAATTTTTGTTAGAATAAAGAACAATAAAACACTAGACTCAATTAAATAATAATGTATCATGCACTATGCTTTCTTATATGTAGGTTCATCCAGTGGGTTTGAATAAGACAGTACAATCTATCTCCCACTATGGCCAGGATGCTGTTGCAGCTCCCGCGCACACATCGCCACTGGGAAGCTACTCTTTTTCTAATGATGGCATGAAAACCAAGTGCGCGCCTCTGTGACCTGATGCGCTACAATGCCGCGGCAGTCCCATCAACATCCTAAATGCATTATTATACTGCACCCTCACAGTGTTTAGGGTCGCCTGACTTATACTTAACCCAAAGGCTAGAAGGCTTGACAGTATGCTTTAATCAGTACAGAGTACTAAAAAAACCGACCTCATAAGTACGTGGAATTAGGGTAGAACCGGGATAGATGCCCCACTTTTTGAAAGGGCCTCCTAATTTAAAAATTATTAGTTTACCACGAATAATTCTAGGGTCGGCGGACTAAAACACATAATTCAAAAAAGTGCTTCATTTGTTAATGTATAATTACATATTTTTGTGTTGTTTATAGTGTTGGAAGATGTGAAGAGAATGATAAATTTGAATAAGACGCCTCTAGAATAAAGGTACAAATGCATGAAGTAACAAATGAATTTGACTTGTGTGCTTAAGCCGGTAGATGTATTAATTTAAATGAATGACTTTGGATTTTGACTTATGTGCTTTAGTCCGCCGACTCTAGAATTCCTATGGATATAACTAGTTTAATCTTTTACATTACATTGATATTTGATTTTATTGATCTAACATTTACTGATTTTTGAAGAAATTGATTTTTTGCAAACCTATTTTTTTGAGGATAAATGCCTACCTATATGGATAGACGCCACACAATGAAAATACTGAGAAGGATAGATGCCCTTTAGAATAAAATAGTAAAATTCATAATAAAATGTTTTATTTGTAATCCTTAATATATTGTATATACGTACATACTACATCTTTAATAATAAATATATACGTATTTAAAGTTACTACCTACTTGACTTCGTATTTTTGTAGCTATCAAAATATTTTATGCAAAAATGTTCTCTGTTTGAAATGTGAATAATTTGTCTTTTTGGTACTTTTATTTACTTTAAAACTA